TAAGTGGCTACGCAGCTAGCTGGCTGTAGTGGACCAGCCAACACAAATAAGTTTTGAGGTAGTCACAATCGCTGCAACTGCCTTTTTGAGGTTACTCATACAACACGGCGTCCATACGCAGTGCAATGAACTTTATGAAATATTATTTATTTAGTTTTCCGCACTGTGTCCATTTGCACTCTTCCTATTTGAGTTGAGTAGTGGCTGCTTTGACTTTTGGCTTTTAACGTTGCGTCGATGAAATCCACTCAAAAGGCAATGCGGCGTACAAAACAAACCTGTAAAGCGCTGTAGAAACGGGTCTACTGTTGTTTTAATGCCTTTAATTTTAGCGCTGCTTTTTAATTTCACTGCTATGCGTCAGCCTATGCAGTGGGTCGGCCGTGCAGCTGTGAAGTGCTGTTTTGCCTAGGCAATTAAAATGATGAATATCTGTATTTGCGTGGAAGCCTAAGTGAAGTGGTCTCATCATAGTCTTGTGCTCTCTATAAAGTTGGTTTTTGAGCTGTCTGTGCAAACAAATATATAAATGTGTGTAGGATGCCTTTAGGCCAACAAATATACATATTTTGTGTCGGAGGGAGCAAATAATGTTTTGATACAAAAATCTCTTACTTTTTATTCTTCTACTTATACTTTTTATTCAATAAAGCGTGCTCTTAAAGTAAGTCAAAGTTTTGCCAATTATTATTTTTGGGTAATGAAAAAGATATTAGTTTAGTAAAAGTACTTGACAAAGTATATATTATTTTTAAACAAATTAAAAATTATGGCCAAAAATAACTCTTTAAAGTCTTTAATGGCTGTGTCAAGTGTAAGCTACTTACTTTTTATGGTTTAGAATACATTTTGTGCTTCTTCAAATTTGTAAAACTTTCATTGCCTGAAATTTATGAAAAAGTAATAAAAGCAGATTTTTAAATGCCAATAAGCTCAGGTATACGTCTGCCAACATATCGCGCGCAATAAATTCATACCCTTGGATGGTAAAAGTGTTTGCTTTATCTTATTCTCTGCGAGACAAGAATTGACAATGGAGTTACTAAGTATCCCAAATAAATTTAGAAGAAATAATTGTTCAGCAATGTCAAAAGTTATTCAGTGATAAATTGCAGATACCCAGCTGAACCTTTTTCAGATGAATGCCCCATGATCCATCTATCCGTCAGGTTAGGTTAGGTAAGGTGGCTAGCCTCTGCGTAGCTTCGCAGAGGGCATTTAGGCCCATAGCGTTACCAGATAAAATACGACCACATTAGACAGCTAATCACTGAGTACCAAGAGCAATGTTGAAAAACGACGCACTCCTCTTGGCAAACTGTAACACATTGTGGTACCCTATTTTGGCGGCGTCTTCCAGGTTGGACAGAAAACCTGCTCCCAGCAAACTAATCCGCAGACCATTAAAGGCAGAGCACTGGCAGGTGATATATTGCACAGTCTCCTCCTTCGTTTTGGATCTCATACAGATTTTATCATTGGTCAGAGCCGGGTTGAAGGAGTGCGATGCAAGCAGGCAATGTCCCAACCACTAGCCTAGCGTCCTCCCATGCTCTTCGGCAATCTCGTTGCCGTGAATGCTGCTTGGCCTCGGCCTCCATGATCAGTGCACCGACATGCCTATCAGCTAAAGACATAACTTTCTCTCAGCATTGCCAGCTGAGCTATTCAAGTACGCTGGCTATTCTTATACAGAATATGATAAGTTTCCGTAGTGCTCCTTGAAGCATTCCGCTTATCATATTGATGCACAATCCGCTTACCACAATCACTGTTGCGTCTTAGAAGAATATTTTTTAATCCGTAGATCACAGCAGCGGAAACAGTACACCGGCTTACGGAGTCCCCTGTTTAGGTCGCCTGGTAACTTCTCTGTGGCCTAACTTAGCGTTTACAATCATTGTACGAAGCATGGTTGAGATCCAGGAAGTTCACAATTCCAGATCCAAGATCCAAAGGGTCAACTTCAAGTCCGACAAGAGCTAATTCAGTCTACAGTCTGCGTAATTGAATAAACGAATATTGTTAATCAATTTGTTGGTGTTTTTTTTTTTTTTTGGTATATCCGAAAATACGAATATTAACCGAATATTCGAAAAATTCGAATAATAACCAGGTATCCATACTATACGGATTTTATTCGTGTCAACGTATAAACCGCATGGATATCCGGATATTCGAATATGCGGATAGTTCCAGCCCTATTTATTGGACATATTGCTTTTAATTTGATTTCCAAAGACACCACAAGTAGCCTTGTATTACAATAAACATTTACAAGTAGCAAATCAGAATAATACTGCAAAGCAAACATTTTTAGCGAAAAGAGATGAGTAGGTACATAAGTGAAGAAAATTTTAATATTAATATGCGGACGGGCAAGTAAATAGTTAAGTAGAAAACATTTCTTTTATTTTGTTATGAAAATAAAAGTGGATGCAAACGACAAAAGTAAATTAGAAAATTTTTGCATTTCACAGCTTTAGCATTCATTGAAAGGTCTTGCGGCAGAAAAAAAAAAGAAAACTACTTGATTCTTTTCGAAACAAATTTCATTACACTAGCATTTATGGACCACGACTTCGCACAGCTGCTTGAATAATTGTAATAATATGGCTCTAAAGCCGCCAGTCATCATAAAGGCCTTGTCGTTCGCTCATTTCTTCAAGAGTTTGCCTTTCAACACGCTTATGCACTATGCTATCAAAGGGCAGTTGGTGAACGTTTCCGTTCCACTTTTTAGTTTCCGCAACTTTCCTCTAACAATTCTACATATATTACTCAGTATGCCACATTTTTACTTTGACTCATTCCGCTACTCTTATTTTCATTTCATTGCTTGGGTCTGTTAATTAACGCGGCGCGTTGGCAATTGCGGCTGCAGTAAAAGAATGGAAGTAATAAACTTAAACGGAAATGACAGAAAGTGGCAATTACTGACTGTGCCGGAGTACTTTGTTGCTAAAGTTGTGTGCAGTAAGAAAAAATAAGTAATTTTTCTGTTGACCAATGCAGATTTTCACATAGAGAAACTTTTAAGATTTGAGACCTGTTCAAGAAGAAAAAAGTGAATGACTGTGGCAGCAATTAGCAACCGTAAGTGGCGAGTAAAAATTAAAGTTTCTTTAGTGTTGACTAAGTTAGTAGGGTACTTTTCGTTAAAGTATTTACAGTGAAACCCGCTTAAGTATCCGCCTCCCCCCACTTAAGTACCTAACCCGCTTGAGTAACCAACATTTTTGGGCACCGTGAATATTTTAATGTAACCTGAAGAAGATCCCTCTCTTAATTACCTCCCCGCTAATTTACTCAACCCGCCTAAGTACCTAAATTTTTCGTACCCATTTACCATTTTACTTATAATTTTCTCCGTTTAAGTGCTTCCGCTACACGTTCGGGAAAAAAATTCTAAAAAATCAACGGTAATTTTTAGCCACTTGAAACATGCAAATTATTACACCAAATTGAATGGGCTATAAATACTTCTGAAAAAAAAAGTTTGAAATTTTCAGTGTTCTAAACAATTTTAAGCTCAGGTTTATATAGTACCCAACCCGTCTAAGTACCTCAAAAAGCTGACATTTTTCGTGAGGTACTTAAGCGGGTTTTACTGTACTCCTTAACCCATATTTTCGACCATAAACTTTGAAAGCCCCTTTCTCTGGAGTTAAGTTTTATTTTATTTAACTGTTTTGCACAATCCAATTACCATACAACTAGCTTTATTGTACAACAAACAATTTACAGAACTTCAAATTTGCACTCCGTAACTTTACTCGTAACTTGCTAATGCACAACGGAAACAGAACTCCCTGTGCACTTTTACATACCTGCGCCACCCTGTGTTTCTAGTCAGCATATTTTTTTTTTGCAATTTCTGGAAAATTCTTGTTGACGTTCCTCGCTAACGAAGCTTCTACGGTTTTTTATCGAACATTCTGTCAATTTCTGGTTGTCCGTTTTGAACTTTTATTTGCGTGTTCACAGTATTCGCCACACTACCCTCCACCTCCGAACGAAGTCCTCCACGTGGACCACCTTCATCTTGTTTCTAGGTCTCCCATCGGTTTGGATTCGGTGCAATACGTCATTCAACCTTCCCAGTTACACTGTATTTTTGAGTGCAAACTTTTACGTTGCGGATTGTACAGAAACACTAAATCTCCTTGGAAACACTCTGACTTCATCGCTTTATCATATATTATAACTCATAATTTGAGTATGTTGTCTCATAAGGGAATGCATTCCTCTCAGTTCCTCTTCTAGGATTTTGGACATGTCTTTTCCGTTCCAACTTGCATCGCCACTTACATATTTCAATTTTCTGGGCACTAGGCAAATAAGGTTCACTGCCAAAAAAATACCTTTGCAGAAGTTTTACCCGTCGTTGCTCGAGTTTTTTTTGGATACCTAGTATCTGTGAAATCCTTTAGAATATCGCCGCTACATATGGCCATGACTTCTGGGTTTCGGTCGTGTAGCTTTGAAAAAAGGACACACGAGCACATTTAGGCCCATATTTGTGACCGCTGTGGTGCCACAAGGGACAAGACAATTTTTTTTGGAAACAATTAAATATAACAAAGTAATAAAAAAAAAACTTGTAGCCCATTCAAGGTTAGCATAATAAATATCAAGTTTAAAGTAGCTAGGACTTACCATTGATTTTTGTATTTATTTTTTTTGTTGACGGTGTCAGTCATTTTCTTTCCTATCTGCGCTATCGCCAATGCACTAACATCTCTTTTTCAAATTATTTGTACTATAAAGCTCCCGTTACCTCACATATTTTCTTTTGAAACATCTGCAGTAAATCTCAGGTTTTTATTTAGCAGCAACTGTAATTTTTCGGTTCTCTTTCAAATAACACAAGAAATACAAAGTAAAGCAACTTTCTCTAACTTTATATAAGCACATATAATACTAACACACTACCGACTACGCCCAAAGAAAGTTTGTAATACAATTTTAACTTTATTGTGCTGCTTTTCTATTTCAAGGACACTTAAACAAATTGGAAGCGAAAACGTTGCACGTAAAACACAATAGAAGTGACATACTGCTGCTGCTGTTCGTTTTTATTTTGGAAATGGCTGCATCGAGCATAGAGCAAAAGTAGAACAAAAGTTTAACAAATTGGTAGAGAACGAACACAATGAACGTGTGCTGCATGAAAAAGACACAATAAATGCAGAAATAGCTGCGTGTTGCATGCATTTTGCTGAGAGAAGTGAAGAGAGTAAATATAAACTAGCGTTAGTTGGTAGCTTAAATACGAAAGGCGATTACGGCTGAGCATTTGAAGGCTATTCAAATTATACAAATGCGCGAGAACGAATCAATGTGAAGAGATATAGAAATAAAAACATATAGAAATATACGATGAACAATAACGGTGAATGAGTGCGCGTACTTGTCAAGCTTATTTTTAATAATACACGCGTTGGAGCCGAAGACTGCGGTTGACGCGTAGTGTGTGGTGGCAGCGTCGACGACGCCACCCACAATTCCTAAAAAAGTAGTGTTCAAATAAACAGAAAATCACTCGATTGTGCTCTTGTTTCTCTTCCTCTTGCGGCTGGTGAAACGCACGCCTCAAAGTGCATTTATTCCAGCATACCATGTCCTCGATATCGGCGCAGGGCGTGGTCGAACGTGCATCCGCTGAACTCTCGAAACGCATTAACGGTCTTGGCCTGCGTTCGAAACATCATCATGGCAGCGGTTCTAATTCGTCCTCGTCCTCCTCTACACAATCCTCTTCTTCGTCTAGTGGTGGTAGTGGCAAAACCTCAGTAATGGAACGTGTCACAAATGCGCTCTGTGGCGGTAGTAGCAGCAGCAACAGCAACAACAATAGCAGTAACAACAGCAACAATAGCAATGCAAGCAACAATTCGAACAGCAACCCAACCGCCACACCCGACAAACCATCACGCGGCGGTAGTGCTAGTGGCACGCACACTCCCACAGGCGGCCTGTCCGCGCCCTCAAGTCCCACACTCCCTCACAATGTTGGCGTTGTCGGTACTGGCGGCAACATGCAGCTACTGCAGCAACAGCAGTCGGCGCCACAGGCCCAGCAGCCGTCACATCCGCATCAACATTCGCAGCAGCCATCGCCGCCGCCGCCACCGTCACAACATCCACTGCAAACACAGATTGCCAGCTCGACACTGGTGAATTCCAATTCCAATATGATAGGTGGCCCACCGCCTGTGCTTGGCCATCCACTTGGCGCACCACCAGCGCCCACTGTTAACTCGATCGCCAAGCAAATGAACATCACTATACCCGGCCAGCCGCAGTTCACAACCATGGGCTTAGTGGCGGCTCAAAAATCGGTAGCAAATCAATCTGTGAGTGGCGGCACGCCACTGCAGTTGCGCAAGCAACTGCCCAATCCACATCTACATCATCCATATGCGGGTGGTGGAGTTGGCGGCGTGGGCGGCAGTGTTGCGGGTGTCTTGCCGACGGGCGCTGCTGGCGGCGCTTCAAACGCTTCACAACTGGCCGCTGCCGTTACACAGTCTGCGCTGATTCTGCACAAACACCCGCCTCCCATAACCAGCATTGAGGCGTTGCTGCTCGACGATCGCTTCTTGAATCGCTTTTTCCTTTACTTTTCGTCTTATGAGCGTCGTACGTTGGCTCAGGTTTGCATGAAATGGCGCGACATACTCTATCGCAGTCCGCGTTATTGGTCGGGTCTCTTGCCGACATTGCAATGTCGCGAATTGCGTCAAATACCGAGCTGTGATCGTGTGAAGCTGTATAATTCGTTGATACGTCGCGGTTTTCATGCGCTCGCGTTAGTGGGAGCCTCAGATGAGGATGCGCTCGACGTGGTGCACTCATTCCCGTTAGCCTCCAAGCACATACATTCATTGAGTTTACGCTGTTCATCGATTAGCGATCGGGGACTGGAGGCATTGCTGGATCATCTGCAGGTGAGTGTTGTATATTATTTTATTTTATCAAGAAAACAACGGCAGGGGTCTGCCTCTGTGACTAGGCTTTGCTTGGCACTTCAATAGCAAACTATTTACAGTGTAATAAGTGCCAGTTTTCCAAATTTTCATTTACTGAATAAGAACTTTCTATTAGTAAATCACCATGAGATTTTTTAGGGTAGGGTGGGCTAAACTCGGCGAGAGTCCTTCATGGGACTAATTTAGACTCAGCAAATAACCGAGTTAAATTCTGTATAATATTTATTACTCTGCGGTCATTCAAATCATTGAAGGAATAACGGCAAATGGTTTTGGGTCTTCGTCTTGCTGATGCCAGTCAGTGACAGAGAAGGAGGATGGGTTTCGCAAGGATGCCGCAGGATGGCTATGTGTCCTCCAATCAGGAAATGTTCGGTAACAACTTCAAGTTAAGTTCTAATATAGATTGATCATCTTTCATTGGCCGTGTCTTATCAACATATTTGCCTAAAGGGGATACGTGTCATGAAATTTGTCCATTTTTAAGCGAAAATATTAGACGCCACACCCAAATTTTTACGATAGTCCTTGTGCAGGAGTATTAAGCCGTTGTAGCTTTTCCGACATTTCAACGATGCTAAATCTTAAATTAAATTTCCTATCCAGTCTTTCAAAATTGTATACCATTTAAGATCAAGCATCCCAGAGATAGACAACAGTGTTTCCTGGTAAATACCACTAATTCAGATTTTGTGGAATTTATTCCCATACCGCGACTGCTGCTTCAGCAGGAGAGTCTATTTAGCAGTAAGATTAGTCGGTGTTACTAGCCCCAATGGCTATGTAGGTTTTCACTCTATCGCCGTTTCTCGTAATATAATACTCATGCATATGCTTCCTTTTACTTCTTACTCTGTTCCATAGTAGATGCGATACCACTTCCTTTGGAATTTAGATTTTTTTTTACAGAAGAGTCAGGGAGACTCCTCCTCAGCATTTACAGCCGGTAGCCTTGGACTCACTATTGCCCTTTTCTGGGTATTCAATATGCGCACCATTAACGGCCTGAAATCGTTGGGTTTGATGTTCAAAGATTTACACGGCAAAGGCTTATAGTCGCTCTATACATTGCTTTTAAAGTTAGAATAATTAGGTCAAATGTTTTCTGAAGGTCGACAAGTAGGAGACCATCGAGCCCAGGCTACTATCAGAAATATGGCTAAGGGGAATTACCCGTATTGGGCAAAAAACTGTAGGTTATTCACTACTTTGACTAGGGAACATTCAGGACTCCTCCATTCTGTTTGGTTTTAGTTTTTTCGCGATAATAGAAAACTAATGGTTTTCCAACCCAAAAAAAATAAAGGTTCATGGCCCAGTAACTTGAAGATAACAATAAAGAGATTCCAGGATCATTATAATTTTTCGAGGTGTATTCCAAACTTTAATTTTGACTGATATTCCCATACCGACGATGATCCTATATTCCACATTTTTCGGCATAAGTGTTGCCGACCAAATTTACAGAACTTTTTCAGCGTACATAAGTTCTTAATACTCTTAATAACCTTAACTATTATAGTTTGAAAGTGTACAGAATGTTTCCGTGTTGGGCGGCCAACTGAATAAAGTTGTAAGGAATGGGAAAAAATAATTTGAAGAAAATCGTGAAATTCCACAAACTTCTACCTTACCAACGTGACTGCCGCAGGGCTTTGACCTCTTACGATTCGAAGTATGAAAGTAAAATACTCATGCTTACACATATACAGGTGCCTATAAATAGGCTTATATTTGCAAGTACTTCATGTGCCTACCGCATTCTGAAGTACATAATTACTTAGTTATTGTTTTGTCTGAGCTACCGCTACATACTTGAGTATGTACCATCAACTTGAAATATTTCGCTGCGGACAAGCAATTATACAAGTATGTATATGTAGGTGTGATACTTATACCCATTGTATTAAGTTACCCAGAAAACAATCTTAAAAGTACAATAAAAAATATGTTATTAATGATAAAATCAAATCGCTTAGTTCCATCGTACAGGGTGTGGCTGCAAAGTGAGCTCTATGAGAGGTCTATGATAAGGGATTGAACCCGTATCGGTGTCTAAATACTTATGGGACTTACATACATGTCAGTCATTCATATCGTCTGTCAAACGACGTCGCGACTGCAGCATCTTTCAAGCTGCGATTTATACTGTAGAGGTGGCAGGTATTATTCTTCTATTCTACCAATAAAAACCCAGCACCTACTTACTTTGAGTACAATAGGTAGAGTGCCATCCGGACTGGGCGATTTAAAGCTGTAAAAAGATTCATTTCATACCATTTCTAAGTTGAATGTAACTACATATATATCTCCTGATTTCTAAGAAAATGAATCTCTAAAAGATCAAAAATAGTCTCAGGGTTTGTCTCCGTGAAGTATGCATCAGGCCTAAAGAGTGGAGTATGACGATTTTTATTTATAGAGCATTGCCAAATCATTTTATTTTTTTTATTTTTTTGGATCAAGAATTTTCGTTAAATATGGAGTTTTACTTTTTCGGTCAAATTAAATCGTTATTTTTATATTTTTATACTTTCGATAATTTTTGACCATTATAAATCGTTTATGATCTGAAAAAATTAAATCTGAAATTATAATATGATCGAAAAAATAAACATCAAAAATAACCATAAAAATTTGAGTGAAAAAATAAAAATCCAAAAATAACGATTATTCTTGACCGAAAAAATAAAAGTTATAAAATAAGTTTTAAATTTGATCGGCAAAATGTAAATCTAAATTTAACTGTTAGATTTTGATTTTTATTATAAAGATCATAACCATTACGGTACCTGATCAATACATTTGAATGAAGCCCTTTTAAAAAACGAATAAGCTTCTTGTAATCCCTTTGAGTGCAACGGACAGTTCTCAGTCCATCTCAACACTTTTTCTGAAGGTTTGGTTTAAACGTTTGCACGACTCACTCTTCAACTGTATGTTCAGGAAAATCAGATTTTCGAGTAATAGCATCGCACACCGGAGTGATATGCGAAATACGCCGAGATAACAACAACTTTCTTCTAACCATCCTTGCGCCTGAAGCTCAGCCGAGCAGCAACTTAGTCCTAGTAAATAATTGCATAAGTTTGGTCACTGTAAAGTGGGAGAATGCTACCGGAGGATTGCTGGTAATTTACCGCCTGCTTGAGACCTGCGCCATCAGTGATCATTGTTGTCTGACAACTGCTGCCCGGCTCTGAAGAAAAGTCAAGAGGCAAAACCACTTGCCTCTACTCGAGGATGCGATCTGTCATGTAAACGCTGGATAATTATGTGCTGGTTGGGCCCTCCACAATCCATGATCCATCCTGCCTCAAGTGAGGGTAGAGTTCCAATTGCGGGGGTACCACGTGTAGTATAATCCTGTAGTGTATCCATCACATAGTATGGCAGTTTAACGCAACTGTCCGGCTGTAGTTTAGCCTTGCTGACGTTGTATCGGAGGGTGTTCTTCCCAACATCATCCTAATACACGAACCGATAGAATTTAGTCGCCTTTTACAATAAGCATGCCTTACTGTCGGAAGAGCTGAAAAAGCGGACTTATCTTACGTCATCTATCAACTGCTTACTGGGTATTTATATGAATTCAATTTATGTATGTATGTATGTATAATCGGGAATATTCCAACCTCGCGTTCATATAATTGCTTATGGTTTTATTAGTGTGTGTGTACGCGCCGCTCTATAGCATGTTGACGCATAATTTAATGGGTCAACATGTTTGGCGGCCTATCATGCGCTGCTTTGGCCGCGAGGTCTTGCGGCCGACCGCCAAATGCTTAGCTTCACGTCATTAACAAACACAAACAAGATCTCATATATGTATACATTTAGTGTACACATACATACATACATATTATGTGCATAGTCGGACAAATTAACAATAAGGTGGTCTTATAGGAGTCCTTTCTTTTGAGCTTTTTGTTTGAAATCGCCAGAATTTAAGGGTACTCTAATACTTGCAAAAGAAAAAAACTGAGTGTAAAAGCCCTGCCATAGATGTTTATGTTGAAGCAATCTTAAATTGCCTACTGGGTGTGCACACTTAAACAAATACATATGTACATTAGAGTGGTCCAAAAAAAATTTCCAATATAGGGTTTGGAGCACCTTCCAAAATTTGTTCTCTTGCCGATAGAGGTGCTGGTACCAAACTTTACGTTTTTAAGTATGAATTTAAGGGATGCTCATGATACTCATATTTTACTCTAGAAGTATTGTGTACATACATATATTAAACAAACAATAGGATAAGCAACCTAAGAACATTTCCAATTTAAGTTATCTAAAAAATATCGCGAGATCCAGTTGTCATGGCGACAGTAACTTTTTATAAAAATCCCAATTTTTTTTGCAGTTTCATAGCGATCCAGTAGCGAATTTCGAGGTGATTGAGCACCCTGTATTGGTTACAGTACAAAATTGAAAGTTAATGTAGACATTACGGATATCAAAAGGAAAAAACTAAGGGGGTGCCTCGTTTTATAGGATAAAATTTTTTTCCCCCATAAAAAAAATTGGACCACTCTAATGTACATAGATACATATATATAAAAATATATCTATCTTTGTTAGTTTACAATAATAGCCGGTCGAAAACAACTAACTTGTAAATGTGGGTATATCGACCGCTGTACCCAAGTATATTTATGTAAGTTTAGACTCATATTTACTAGTACTATGTGTACATAGATATTGCAATGCGATTACATACAGGCAAGTATATTGCTGCATTTCAGAGTAATACGCATTAAAATGTTCCTACAAAAACAATCACCATATTACCGGAAACCACCGTTCACTGTTACCCACAATCACTGCAAAAATAATAATAGAAACGAAGAAGCCAACAAAAAAGCATCACCGTTTTACCATGAAAGTGTCGGAAACTGTTATAGAAAAAGGCAGTGGCACCACATCAAAGTGTTGCAACAACATACACACACGAAGGA